GTCAAAAATGAATATTAAATCCCGTCTAGCTTTTTCAAGGGAAAATCTTAAAAAACCGATGACGTTTTGCAAAAATGTACTTTGGAGCGACGAGTCGAAGTTTTGCAGATTTGGTTCTGATGGAAAACAATACGTATGGCGCCCTCCAAACCTACAGCATCATAAAAGTATATCCTTAAAACGGTTAAGTATAGAGGTGGGAATGTTATGGTGTGGGCAGCATTTTCTTGGCATGGCGTGGGATCCATTCACATGATTAACACTAAAATGGATCAGTACATTTACAAAAACATATTGACAGGCATAATGATGCCATTCGCTGAAGAAAACATGCCTCTAATATGGAGATTTATGCTCGATAATGAACCTAAGCACACTTCACGCCTAGTGGGCAGCACAATCTCCAGACCTCAATCCAATTGAGAACTTGTGGAATGATGTTGAGAGACATGTACGTGCAGTAAAACCAAGAAATTTGAATGATTTATGGGAAGAATTGCAAAAGGGTTGGAATGAGATTCCAAAGGAACGTTGTATGGCATTAGTTGAAAGTTTACCAAGGAGATGCGCAGCTGTGATCCAAAATAAAGGCTTCCCAACTAAATACTAAGGTTTCCTTACTAAGTTGAGTTTTTAATATAATTTATTTTTCAAGGATCTTAAAAAAAAATAACATGGACCTATTTTTTAATAAGATTTAAAAATAATATATATATATATATATATATATATATATATATATATATATATATATATATATATATATATATATATATATATATATATTTTTTTTTTCAAGGATCTTAAAAAAATAACATGGACCTATTTTTTAATAAGATTTAAAAATAATATATATATATATATATATATATATATATATATATATATATATATATATATATATATATATATATATATATATTATTTTTAAATCTTATTAAAAAATAGGTCCATGTTATTTTTTTTTAAGATCCTTGAAAAAAAAAAAAAAAAAAAATATATATATATATATATATATATATATATATATATATATATATATATATATATTATTTTTAAATCTTATTAAAAAATAGGTCCATGTTATTTTTTTTTAAGATCCTTGAAAAATAAATTATATTAAAAACTCAACTTAGTAAGGAAACCTTAGTATTTAGTTGGGAAGCCTTTATTTTGGATCACAGCTGCGCATCTCCTTGGTAAACTTTCAACTAATGCCATACAACGTTCCTTTGGAATCTCATTCCAACCCTTTTGCAATTCTTCCCATAAATCATTCAAATTTCTTGGTTTTACTGCACGTACATGTCTCTCAACATCATTCCACAAGTTCTCAATTGGATTGAGGTCTGGAGATTGTGCTGCCCACTAGGCGTGAAGTGTGCTTAGGTTCATTATCGAGCATAAATCTCCATATTAGAGGCATGTTTTCTTCAGCGAATGGCATCATTATGCCTGTCAATATGTTTTTGTAAATGTACTGATCCATTTTAGTGTTAATCATGTGAATGGATCCCACGCCATGCCAAGAAAATGCTGCCCACACCATAACATTCCCACCTCTATACTTAACCGTTTTAAGGATATACTTTTATGATGCTGTAGGTTTGGAGGGCGCCATACGTATTGTTTTCCATCAGAACCAAATCTGCAAAACTTCGACTCGTCGCTCCAAAGTACATTTTTGCAAAACGTCATCGGTTTTTTAAGATTTTCCCTTGAAAAAGCTAGACGGGATTTAATATTCATTTTTGACACATATGGTTTACGTGGTGCTATACACCCTCGTTAGTTTTTCTCAGTCAGACGTCTTCGTATTGTTCTGGACGATATATTGATATATATATAATCCGATGATATTTCTTTTTTTATTTTACCAGAACTTGTGAATGGTTCTTTAACAGCTGCTTTATATTATTAAGTGGCCAGCTTCAAAAGTACGTTTTTACAATAATATAGCAAAAAAGCAATATGTAAAAAATAACAACACCAAATAACGGTACTTTTTCTTAACATCACAGGTTGCACAGAAAAATTTAGAAAATGTTATTTTATGTTACAGGGTTGTCAAAATTATCATAACTCACTAAGTCACTAGATGTCGTGTGGCCACTACTATATATATATATATATATATATATATATATATATATATATATATATATATATATATATATATATATATATATATATATAATATATTTTTAGATATGTGTTTCTTTCTGTATATTTACAAAGATAAGTTTTCTGTTAAATCAATAAGTTTAATATTTATACCCTATATATACATTTTAGACCCCACAAAGTATACATTATCAGCATTAACTTCTATGTCACTCTACCTTCCGAGCGAAATGAAGTAGGTTGATAAAATTCTACTCAAATGTATATTATATATGCAGGACTTTTGGTTTTTTGAAAATGGGCCATGTAGGTCCACGTTTTGGCAACATTTTAGCAACATTATTTACCGGAAATGTTTCAAATTTTTTATTTGAAGTTCGAAATGAATACTACAGCCTATGACAGAAAATTGTCAGTGCAGGTACATGACTTCGTACAGCCCCCATATAATGGTACCCCCGATATTCGGTACTTTATTGATTTTAGCGACATTATTCACCGGAATTGCAGTGGTTGCATATTTTGTTCTGTTAATTATTATACCCTCCACCATAGTATGGAGGGTATATTAAGTTTGTAACACCTCGAACTATACATTTTAGACCCCACAAAGTATATATTCTTGATCAGCATAAAATTCTATGTCGATTTATCAATGTCCGTTCGTCTGTCCGTCTCTCCGTCTGTGCAAATCACTTTAGCTTCCAAACGAAATGAAGTAGGTTGATAAATTTTTGCTCAAATGTGTATATAGCTCAAATGCGTATAGCACCCATATAACGGTACCTCCCGATGATTCTATCGACATTTTTTTACCGGAATTGTTTCAAAATTAATATTTAAAGTTCATATTAGACGCTAGGGCTTAAGACTGAAGATGGGCCATGTAGGTCCACGTCTTCGTATAGCCTTCATATAACGGTACTCCCGATATTCGGTATTTTGATGATTTTAGCGACATTATTTACCGGAATTGTTTCGAATTTGAAGTTCGTAATGGATATTACAGCCTATGACAGAAAATTGTCTGTGCAGATCCACGTTTTATAACCACCATGGTACCTCCCTATATTCCGTATTTTGATGATTTTAGCTACATTATAAACAGTTAGATAGTCCCTAATATAATAGCTACATTCGGTATTTTTAAGATTTTAAGTTTTAATGGATTTTATTGTTTTTGAGAATTGCCAAATTCGTTCCAAATGGTGGAGGGTATTCAAAGTTCGGCCCGGCCGAACTTACAGCTTTTTTACTTGTTATAATTAATAAAGATCCTTCCAGCTTGATTTCTTTTTTGATAATTAACTTCAATCACCTTTCCGTCAAGATTTATTTTGATGGACTGCAATGATGTGGTTTGTATTTTCACATCACTGACGGCTTCGTTAATTTTTTCTTCCCGATATTCGGTATTTTGATGATTTATGCAACATTTTTTCACGGATTTGTCTGAAAGTTGGTATTTGTAGGTCATAATGTGTGCTAGTTTGTATGGCGAAAAATTGTATGTGATAATGTGTGATATATGTGATGATTTTTGCCACATTTTCCATGAATATGACTAAAAATTGGTATTTGTGGGTCATAATGGGCTCTAATATTTCCTTTACCCTAAGGTGGAGTGTGTTAAAAGTTCGGCCCGGCCAAGCTTAATGTGTTTTTACTTGTTATCTTTCAGAAAGATACATTTTGTACTTTTTCCAATTTAGATAATAGATATAGGTACAAATGGAAGCAACAAAATAATTTTACGCTATAAGGAATGTAAAATCTATTTGTCCAATAAGTTTTATACAGTATCGCTGCATGATCATGCAGATGAAATAGTAAGGGAAACAGTTCTAACAAAGGAGGTAAACCAATTCCGAATTCTAAGTACCAAATTTTAAACAACGCTGTTGGAAAATGTGGCCTAAGTCATCTAAATAACTAATATTAGGAGGTACAGCTATATATATGTTATACGAAAACGTGGATCAACAGGGATCATTCACAAATTTAATCTGCATATTGAAAATTATACACATTTTCAAATTTTTACACATCTCAATTCGAATTCTGACACCGCTTAATTTACTTAGAATTTTACGCTGATCAAGAATAATGTACTTTGTAGGGTCTAACATGAGTAGTTCGAGGAGTTACAAACGGAATGTCAAAGTCTTCTAAGCCCTCCATAAAATGATGGACGGTATAAAAATCTACAAATCTATTAACCTTCATTCGGTCGCTACCTTTACATACTTTACATACCACTTTTCTTGACATACGTTTTTTATTCATCGTTAAAATCGCTTTTGTTTTGGGGGTGTATTATTTCTTATTTATTATATATTCTTAATTATTTATTTTTCTTGTAAATGTAGTCAGAATACTTTAATATATTTATATAATTTGGTGTAAAATGAAGTGTATTTATTATGAAAAGTAAATTCACGTAATACGTCCTGGAACGTGTTAAATAAATAAACTTAAATGGCACCTCGGTGTCTACACACTCTAAAATTTCAAAATCTAAAAGGATTTATCTATAAATCTTGAATTGTTCTGTATGTTTGTTTCTTCGGCATATTTTGTTAATTTTTTATAGAAATATATCATGTCGTAGAAATCAGTAATACAAATACTTGATAAATATTTTAAACTAAAAAGAGACGCTAGATTTAAATCCACGACATTGTAGATAGAAAAGGTTACAAAAAATTCGTCAAGAGAGAGGAACTATTATGAGGAAGAAAAAAATGTGTGGTTTAAAAAATTTTAGTGAGATCTCATAAACTGCATGCCATGGTGCGGGGAACAAATAATAATTGTAAAAGTTATATAATGTGTGCCGTAATTCCTTTACTCTACAATTTATACTATATGCTTACCGCTGTCGCATTCTTCATTAACATTCATCTCCATCATTTTTGTATGAGTTATATCTTTATGCGATGCTAGGAATAAGACAACTTCCCGCTTTTCGTTTTTGATAGGAACAATGTCAAAAAGACACCAGAAGGGAGAGCCTGCAAAAATTGTTATTAAATTGTTTATAACCTTTTTTATTCTTAACTTTATGTATACTCACCATCTTTTTTATAAAATATCACTTCAAGTTTAAGTTCTGTTTTGTTAATCAAGCTTTTCTCTATTTGTATTTTGTGATCTTCTTTTGTTTCTGGTCCGTACAAGAAATGGCACGAGCATCCTATAACAAAAAAGGTAAACATTTTCTATGATTTAACAAGTAACAAAACATTAAGTTCCGACGGGTCGAACTTTTAATACCCTCCATCATCGAGCAAAGAAAACATTTTATATAGAAGTGTCTTTATTCAACCGTGTTCCACTTTAAACTACAAATACCAGAGAAACCGTTTGGATAATACAGTTAAAGTACGTTTATATATATGAGGGTTAATTCACTGGATTTGGATTTAAATTGTCATATCCATTACTTTTACTTCAAATAAATCCTTTCAAAGTAGGTTAACCCTACAAAAAGTTCTAACGTAAACATGGCATTAAACTTAAAAAAAAAAAAAAACCTGAAGTGAGTGAGGCGGTTATATGGGGCCATACCACAAAGGGACCCATTTAGACAACTTTATACTAAAAGGATTGTTATCCATTGCAAGTCTCAAATGTCAAAAATGAAAAAATTCCGTGATTTAATTTGACAAGGATTGTCAAAATACCGAATAAAAAAAAACAAACACCAATTTTTGGACAAATCCGTTGAAAAATGTGGCAAATCTTATTAAAATACCGAATGTAGAGAGGTATCGTTATATGGGGCCTATACGAAAATATGGACCTATACTTACAATGTTCCTCCACCGGAACAAGAACTCATTGTAACCTATATATACCAATTTTTAGACAAATCCGTGGAAAAATATAGCAAAAGTCATGAAAATACCGGGAGGTACTGTTATATGGAGGCAATACGAAAACGTGACCTATACATGCTATGTTTCGTCAGTGAAACTAAAAACAATTATGATCTTTATATACCAATATTTAGACAAATCCGTGGAAAAATGTTGCAAAATCATCAAAATACCGAATATCGGAAGGTACCGTTATATGGCGGAATGAATGAGGAATGACAAAGTTATTATACCCTCCTTTTCATAGTGGAGGTAATAAAAACTTATTAGTATAAAATTCTGTAGTTTCTACTTTATACTGCGATTTTCGTCTTCTTATTTCATGCATTCTACCTCAAAATACGGCTTTTTACTTCATACGCGATATCAAACTAACGACATTTCGAAGGAGCATTATGTCCATACTTTGGGTATTAACAAGTGCCACGATACATTAACCAATAGGATAACGTCATAATACAAAGGAAATATTTCTTTAGAGACGGATTTTAAGATCAATCTTTTTGTCTATAAGAGGGATACACCGAGTACATGTATTTGTTACGTATTGCTTTGCCTAATAATTCTATTTATATCACATTTGTTTCATATTTTATGCACTACCGCTTTCAACAAATATTATTCTTGCGTTTTTATAAGTTAGTAAAACACAACAACAACAATAATAGTGTAAGAGAAAAAAATTTGGCATTACTACTGTTTCTGCTGTTTGACTATATAAACTACAGCTAACACACTCACTGTAAGTGATAAATCTGGCAATTTCAATTATAATTTGTGAGGTTTCCATCGAATATAAACTACTGGTAGAAAAAAATTGCTGTCTCCGATGCTATTAAAGCTACATTCGTTTATATACAATCAATATACACCCATAGCTGCATAGTAAATTCAATTAAATTGCTTTTAATAAAAATTGGCCCAGCAAGGGGAATAGAATGGAATTCACAGTATATATAACTTAGAAGTATGAACAACATATTAACTCTAAAAGTGAGACAAAATCAAAGCAATAATTTGATGTGGACATCAATTTCTAATCGTTTTTAGTGCCCAGACGCTGGCCAACAACTCCCGCTCATTAGTAGCGTAATGTTCTTCGCTTTCGGATAAAGTGCGGGAGATCATTGTGATAGGTCTGCCTCCCTGCAAAAGGACAGCCCCTATAGCATGTGACGATGCATCCGTCGTTAAATCAAATGTTTTTCGAAAATCTGGATATGTTACGTTACATCTTCGGACGTTAGGATTTCTTTTATTGTATTGAATGCCTCTTTCTGTTCACTGGTCAAATGAATTTTAATTTTTTTCGACTGCGATGCAGAAACTCGGCCATATTCTCCTCTCTCTGTATGTTCGAGAGTGGCTTTGCAATCTTGGCAAAGTCTTTATTAAAACAGCGGTAATATCCCGTCAATCCTAAGAATGATCTTAATCCCGTTAGAGTGGTAGACTCGGGAAAATTTTGAATTGTATTTACTTTTTCTTGACTTGTTCTAATTCCTCCTTGAGTAACTAGAAATCCTAAATATTCAACCTCGGTTTGGAAGAATTTTGATTTTTCAGCCGAAACCCTCATATTGGCTTCGTATAGACTTCTCAGTACTAATTCCACATCTTGCAAGTGTTGTTGCTCGTTTTTCGAGAATATGATTATATCGTCCAGGTAGACGAAACACCTCGTCCCGATGTGTTCTCTTAACACGTCATCTATCGCCCTCTGAAAAATGCTTGGAGCATTCATCAGACCGAAAGGCAGTCTACAAAACTCGTATTTTCCGTTTTTTATGGAAAAAGCAGTTTTTCCCTATCTGGTTCTGATAGTTGTATCTGGTGAAACCCAGATTTCAAGTCAATTGTGGTAAAAAACTTACTTCCACCAAGATTGGAAAAGGTTTCCGTTATTTCTGGAATCGGATATTTATCGCTGATAGTTTTCTGATTAAGTTTTCGGAAATCTATCATCAAACGTTTTTTCTCCTGTCCAGTTTCGTCAAGACCCTTTTTTTACTACCCATATTGGGTTATTGTATGGAGACCTAGTCTTTTTAATAATACCATTCGTCAATAAGTCCTGGATTTCTTTGTTTACGAAATCCGAAAAAACTAAAGGATACGGGTACAATTTCGAGTACACTGGGTCTTCGTTTTCTGTGCAGATCGTCGCAACGACTTTTGTATTATATGGAAGTGCTTCATTGGGATCTGCAAACACTCCATTAACATTTTCACTTGATTACCTTGAAAAATGCTTCTTTCAAATGGTTTGGTACCGACTTGGCCTGAAGTTGAATAAGATAGTTTCCTTTCCGTTGTCATGAATAATTGTGTTTGATTTTAAATCAATACAGGCGTGTACCTTATCAGATTATGATCATCATTAAGATGATTTACACGTTGTATTTTTGATCCTGTTTATCGCTCAGAATTGGCAGGTCGTTTCGTCATATGTCCTTGCGGCCTGTAAGTATGATACGTAGGATGCTTAAATTGGGAGAGGGATGGGTCCACCTCCATAGGCTCCACTCGTCTTCGGTCAGAGTTGTTACCGCTGGCATATGGTTTCTGATAACCCGTGAACTGCTGCGAGTGGCCAACCTGTTTCTGTATAATTACCGAATAATGTGGATTCTTGTGTCCTACATTGTGTTCTTGATTAGAGAAATATTGTGCAGAGTTTGCCTTTTTATTGTTAGAATTTTCATAAGATTTATTTGCGAAATTTTTCGCAAACACGTAGCGCTCGTCATTTGCGTCTACTTCTTGTGCCAAAGCCAGAGCAGATGGAAGGTCGGATGGTCTTGAAGCAAAAAGGATATCGCACAGAGGTTTCCTTAAACCAGATATGAGTACACTAAGTGCATCAGTCCTATACTTTTCGTTTATAGTGTCTGCTACGCTTTTTCGTATGACATAATTGTCTTGTTTGCTAATAACGTTAGTTTCTTTTCTACTTCGTCATAGAACTCTAATTATGACATTGAACCCTGTCTAAGTGTGGACAGTTCCTGTTCTATTAAATAGATGGGACGTTTGTCAGCATAGGTAAACTCCAGTCGTGCAATGATTGTACTAATATTTAGCACTGTGTTAAATGTTGTGAGTACAGCGTCAGCTGCACCCCGCACTTCATTTCTTAGTATGGTCACTACTTGATAGTGGCGTTCACTGCCATCACACCTCTTAAATAATTCATAAGCGTTGTGCGCAGCCTCACGCCAAGACACATAGGTGCCTTGTTGTCCGGAAAATTCTGGAAGAGATTTTATCACATCTAGAGTAATTTCAGAAGGCACAAGTGGGTTGATCGTAACCTTCGCGTGTTTTTGGACTTTCGGTTTTCCAAGTTAAATTGGCCCTGAATCGCGGTAATTTTTCTGTAAAATTCTACTCTTTGAGCAGATAATGCTTTGCTCACCTCCGCTTTTACTTCATCTACTTTCAATCACTAATTTCCGTTGTTTTTTATTTATTTTTTTTTTCACTAGAACTTCACTCACCTTAACATTTTTTGTATTGAATTAGTTAACTTATAATGAGTTTCCAGGTATTCAAGTAGTGCTATTCCCAGTGTTTTTTCAACGCTGCCCAAGGAAAATCGTTCCTTGGTGACAGATAGTATTCCTTATGTTGTCACTCAGACTTCCGGTGTATTCTCAACGCTGCCCAAGGACAATCGTTCCTTGGTGTAAAGTAGTGTTCCTTATGTTGTCGTTCAGACCTCCGGTATATTCTCAACGCTGCCCAAGGATAATCGTTCCTTGGTGTCAAGAAGTGTTGTCTTCTTGCGTTATTGGTCTCTTCGACTTATGCCCCACGTTAGGCGCCAATTATGATTTTTTATTTGCATTTTTTAATACATTTATTTTAATTACGAATTATTATTTGTATTTTGTAATACATTTATTTTTATTTAATAATTAATTATTTTTGTGTGTTATCACTACTATGAGTTGTTGTCCACAGCTTCCATTATATTTTTCATTCCTCAATCTAAGCCCCTACGCTATGCTCCTCTGCCGTAGCTCTGCTACCGCTTTGCTGACATTGCGAGAAGTAGCTCTGATACCGCTATGCTGATGTTGCTGCACTATATTTGGCTACTCAGGTGTCAAGAACTTGTGGGAAAGTTAAATGTGCTGAGTAGCACACGCGTATAGAGTTCAGTTACCTGACAAAAGCCAAAGCTGTGGGAAGGATGAAATAGTGTATTTCTTCACGAGAACTTATATATATAAAAAATTAGGAGGTGCACCTAAACCTCAACCGATTTCAATACACTTTGCCAATGTCGTTTTTTGGAACCACATATATA